TTTTCTGATCAGTTAAGATCCTACACCTAAGGTTGTTAGGTGGTTGTTATGCTGAAAACAACACTCTTCAGTGCAAAAGTTGTTACAGAAGAAGGAAGACCCAAAGGGTCAATGAGGTTTTTAAACTGAAGCAAGAAAGTTATAAAATTCTCAAAAGCTCCCTAATGTAAACGACTAAGTGCATTGCCTTTTCAACAACTGTGTAGTCTTCTTAAGAAAAATATTATGGATGATATAATTAGATTATCCAGTGGAGGGTTTCATACAGATGTACAGCTTTGTGTGCCAAAAACAAGAGAACAAAACTAGTGTTTCTGTGTAGTGAACATCATGGTCACTGATGTAAGCGGGGCTGTAAGGAGACAGTAGATGGTGAGAATAATTGTAAACAATGAGAGCTGTCACAAAGATCTGGGATCGAAGTTGATTTTTGGTTTTAGTAAACATGCTGAGGGAGCGACTTTGGACTTATTTTGAGTTTGAAGCATTTTCATCTAGAAAAAAAACAACTTTTTTCTGAACAATACAATTGTTCCAGCTGCAAGTCATTTGGCCTCATATTTTTGATCCTCTGATTCATAAGCCATGATCGACACCAATGTCACCTGGATGAGAGGAAGCGACTGTCACCTCCTCGCACGATGTACATAGGAAAGGAATGGAGAGGGACATTTCTAAATTAACATTTAAAACAAAATTAATTTCTTCAGACATGAAAACATTTTCTTAAACATTCTTTTGAAAACATGCATAGAGTTGCGTTTTTTTATATGGGCAGTTGCTCAGGGCAGCATCTGAAAGGGGTGGGCCATCCAAGTGTTACAAAATGAAATGTATCTTATTTGTCAGTTGTCCCCTGAACAAGTTTGCTACTACTTCTATGCATGTGTAGTAGAGTAACTTCTCCTTAGTGGGAGACTACATTACCTGCTTTCACCTACAAAACAAAATAAAATAATTGCTTGGAGAGGGCAGAAAGGGCTTTCAGAAATGTGTGCAGTTATATTTCAAGCTTACGAAGTTAGACATGGTGATTAATTGTGATTAAACACAACTCCAAAGTGTGATTAATTTGATTAGAATTAATATTCTAATTCTAATACTAGTTTTAATATTGGCATTTTCAGTGTTTAGTAGCTAAACACTGACTTTTGCTATTATAGAATGCTTAGGACGTCATAAAACGTCATCTTTGCAGACGATGGACCGTGACATTGATTCTTCTTGTAATATAAATAACTAATGACCCCCCATAGCTGAAATACATTTAATGCTGCTAAATATAGTTCTTAAATCAAAGGTAATTGGTAGTGCAGGTCAGCACTTGACAAAACCACTTGCATAACTCTGATCGCTGCATGTCTAGGCACAATTTGCTGGACTCATGAGTTTCAAAACTCTTAAGATATTCTTTGTTTATTCTCCTACATTTTTCAGAAACATGTTTTCTGATGATCATCCTTGATACACGCCTCTTTCACCTTCAAAGAAACTGCTAACCTTAGAGATTTGCATATCTTTTTCACTTAGAAATATTTTCGACAGATCTGTGTTATAGAGTGTATCCAGCATACATTTAAAGTCACACAATATACCAAAACTTTCTGCATAAATTTAATGGAAAACCATTCAATAATCGAACATAAAAAAGGCTCCCCTATCTTGGGAAGAAAAAAAAAACTGATTTAGACAACAGCAAGTATAGAAAATATGCTAATCATGCCTTATTAATATTAGGTTCAAGATGTCTAATGGAAAAAATATATAGTACTGCACAAACTTGAGTGCAAGAACACTAGGAAGTATATTCAAGTGCATGTAATACCACTGAAACAAATGCACTGCAGGTCCACTTAGCCGTTCCTAAACCTAAGTGTCTTGCATAACAAAAAATGAAAGCTCCAGGAAGGAAGTATCAGGTGAAACTGACACAACATTTCGGTTTTGATGCTTACATTATCCAGTGCAAATCAGAATGCATGTACTACCTCTTGCTCTGATGAAGCCACTTTGTATATAAAAATCATAATATAAATATACAGCCTTGGGGAAATGGATTGCCTGAGAAGATTACATAGTGTTCTCATGGCCTAATTTTTATTTCCTTCCTGTAAGTGTGATTTAAATAACTGAAGTATCATTTTTCTGGATTTCTGTGCGTTTAGTTGCTTCATCTTTCAGCAGAAAACTAACTTTAATCACCCACTGTGTTTAAGTGTTTGCTTGTGCATGTAGAGAACAGACATAAACTCAGCAAGTTCAAAAACAATCAGTTTAGTCTCCATGATTATCAAAGGCTTGATATAAATATATGTGTATTTTGTCTGAGCATAAACCTAAAATGTAAGATATATTACCAGGTATAGGACTTTGGTATTCAGAACATAATCTGTTGTCTTTGCTCAAACGGGGTGCAAGAAAAAAATAATTGAGTTTGAATTGGTTATGCCTGGGGCTAAGTGCTAAAACAAATCTTTAAATGAAATTTATTACAAGCGGGGTTACCATGCCCAGGTGTTATTGAATTCATTTCTCATTCTGACCTGATTTATAACGATAACGGTAATAAGTGAGACTGGCAGAAAAGATGACAGTGACATTGCACATCATGGATTCCCTTCAAGCAGATTGAAATGCAGTCAATGTCAATGGCTTAATTGATCCGTGCAGATGGTGTCTTTTGTTTCAATTGTTTTCCTCAGTAGGGCGTATTGTCATTTTCTTAAATAAATCCATCTGTGCCAATGGAGTCATTTTCACAAATGCAAAGAATTTCTCACTCATTTATATATCGCTAATTTCATTCACGGGGAACCGTAGTACCTTGTTAAAAGGGTTCTATGAAACAAACAGGGAGATGTTCATCTTTCAAGTCATTTGTATTCAGCCAAGGACAATTTAGGCAGACATTGTGGTTTGAGGCAGTTCACTGCTCTTCATTGTAAGTGCAAGGTTGATGAGACCCCCCAACCCCAAACTCTGCCACCCCCACAACATACCTTCATACCACAGAAATTAATGAGGAAAATGAAGCTAATGAGATAACAAGCACAAGATGGAGAAACAGGCTGATCTGACGCATCCTCCCGGTTATTTGGCAATATCTGGAGGCGTCACCGGCCTCAGACTCTCATTTTCTTCCTGTCATATTCAATCAGCGATTCCTGCCTAAAATAAAAAGCGAGTCTCTAGTGTGACCATGACCAGCAGAACACTTGGTGTGGCTGTTCTGCTCACTTTTCCTCCCTTTTGTTTTTGTTTTGGTTTTGGGGGGTGTTATTAATAAAAGGTTTCATGACTACGAGATAATTTGGTACCATGAATGTTTTGGTCTAAGGATGCACACAGTAATTATTAATAATGAATGTGAGGTTTCACAAAGTACGTTGCTCAACGGAATAAATGCTGCGCCTGAAATGTTTCTGTGAGCTCCTTCCGTTGTAGATAATTAGCAGCGTAAAGTAATGAGGTCACTGTTAATGGTCATTTCTCTTTACATGCTTTGTCCTGATGAGTGACAAGCCTAACTTCTCCTAATTAAACCAGTATTTCTGCAAATCTGTATACCTGGATCATTTATGAGGAGGCCAGGTAAGGTAGTAGGTCATCTGTGAATTTAAATACCATGCTGCTATATAGTCGGGATTAATGTACTGAGTGATAAAGCCTTTCACACGGGGCTTTACATAGCAGTTTGCAAATGAACTTGTGACTATAACTGTACACCGAATTAGGAAGTGATTTAATATACTACAACATTTAAGTGCTGTTTGCCATTTGTTTTGCTGAATTGTTCGACTGCAGCGTGGCTCTGTGAAAGCTGCGGAGAATCCCGAATCAATCTGTTCTTTGAGAAAACAAACTACAACTTTAATTAGGTTGCGGAAGTTCAGAAAGCACACTATGTTAAATTGGACTAAATTGCACATAAAAACGTCTTGTATGGCAGGGAATGTGACGAGCAAAAGCATGTTCCTGGTTTACATTTAAAACATGGCTGTATTAAACATGGGAGACAGCAAAGAAAACTGTGCAACCACCAATTTGTCTCAATAAATGATCATCATGCTGATTTCACTATAAATATTTGATATAGTTAAGTGCCAATTAATGCTTTTTGAACCTATGGGATTTTCTGTATTTCTCCAAATGTATAGGTTTATCCACAGCTTTATATAGCGTAAAGGCCTAAAAATATATCTATCCTGTTTAGTTTAGGAATGCAGAATTAAATATGGATGACAGGATAATAGCACCCTACCCTGTGCAACTTCCTTGAACAACTTTTTTTCATTTCTGATTATTGTTTTACATTAGTTTGAAGAAACTTCACACCTTCAGCTCTGAAGTTTTTGTTTGTTTTCTGTTATGAAATGCTCTGTTTAGATTCTTATTGGAACTAGATTAAGGGATCTAGGTGTTTATTAGTTTCCGAAGACGCACAAAAAAAAGCGCACACTGGGCCAAGCCAACCCCACCGGACTGCGCACAGAGTAAAAAACATGTGTGGTCCAAGTGACCCCATCGCTTAAGACTGCGGGAGAGTTAAATAAAATAAATTGGTGTCAGTATCATCTTCTCATTACCTGTTTTTTTTTTTTTTTTTTTAAATGGCATAAAATCATGACACAACTACTATTGTGTTTTGCCATTAGAATAACGTTAGTGCGCTGGAAAAAGGTATTTTTCCTTTTACCATCTGTGTATTGAAACCAAAGCTTGTATTTTGGGGTCATTTGTCCCCTGAATGTTTTTCAATACCCATAAGCCTTTTGTTCACTGTTCTCTTTAGCTGAGCACCAATGTCGCTTCTCAGAATTGCAGAAAAATAGAGCGACGTTGCTCTGTTTTCCTCTATTTTTTAAACCCCTATTAAATTTAATGAAATTTTATTCTTGATCCCAAAGATTGTGGCTTTTGTGAGCAGCTGTACTTGTGGTCCGTTTGCGGACGTGGCTCTTCCATCCACAACAAATGTGTCGTTTTCTTCTCATTTTCAGATTGATCCTAAGGTTGCCTTTCCCCGTCGCGCCCAGCCTAAGGTAAGAATGAATTTCTCACTTAGCGCTTCTAGAAAGTGATCATACGTCATGTTGCTTGCTAAGTTTTATTGTGCTCACACAACCTTTAAAAGGAGAAACAAAGATTGAGTTTGGATTTGTTGTTCTCAGCTTGGCCATATTGTTTTACTGAAGCGATTACCCCTACAGATTATTAAGGAGGAGGTTTCAGCTGCGATGAAAGAATATATTATTTTTCTTTATTTCTGTAGTGTTTTAAATCTGGCAGATTTTCTGTGATATTACTCTCTTCCCTGATGCGGTTTTCAGTCCCGTTGCTGCAGTGGTATGAAGTCGAGCTCTACTGCCTCTTTAAGGCAGCAGTGCATTGCTGTTGGAAAGAAGTTTAAATTCTTTTAGCTGGGATGAAAAGAATCAAGATGCTCCTGTCTTTTGTTAGCTGTTAAAATGTCTTTGGTGGCACACATTTAAAGTTAAAGGGCAAGTTTTATTTTTAACTGATTAGGCTGATGGTTCCTTGAATGCATGTTTCTGAACTGAATAGTGACTCCCCAGCTGACAGTGATGAATTACACTTACTGGCTGAATTACAAGTTGGAGTTCTTTTGTCACATCCGGAGTTGAATGAGACTGAATGACATGAGTGATTTAGAAATATCTTTATTGTGTGGCATGCATGCAGAAATTGTCACAATTAGCAATGAAACAATGGGTGATTGAAGAAATAAGCCATATTCCAATCATGCAGGAACTGTCACACAGGCTCTTCATGATGCGTATTATCTTTTCTTTTCTTGATTACTGGTCTTGAGCGCTTCCATCGACAATTAAATATTCAGCATGTGCAGATGGCGCGGTGGAGTAGTCAGGGGCTTTGTTGACATGCCCCCTCACACCATCCACCAGCCATTAATGTGCAAGCTATAGCGCAGTGCACTGTAGCGCCATTCAGCATCGCTTTCAGGGGCTTTTTTACCCCCACCTAAACCAGGTGGAAATCGATAATAGATTTTCTCCTTTTCCCTGGATCACAAAGAGGGGCATTGTTAAAGACTTGTTCACGTTTCAAATAAGGAATTGGCAGTGGAAGCTTTTAGAGCCAGAGCACACTGTGACTTAAGGATATCGGCGTGCGACTGAGAAACAACCGGTGTTTTTCCACTTTTTCTTACACGGCAAGCCTATCGACTTAACTTCATCTCATCCGAGCTTTGCTAATAAAAGTTGAAGGTGCAATACAACAACTCGGATGTTTGATGATGCATCCAATTATTAGGTGAACAAGTGAGTCAGCTTGCTGTGTGGGTTTCTGCTTATATTTTTCTTCCCAACCATTATGCAAACTTTTGCAACAACTTAAAAGGAAAGTACACTGTTATTTTCTAAAGGATACTTTCCATAACTGGCACTATAATGACACTGTGAAAATATCACTACAATGAATTGTTAAATAGCCATAAAGCAATTTTGTGAGGGTAGCAAAATGGTTTTACTGAAAGTGGATTAAAAAGGTTCTTAAAACAATTGGACCAAACCCAGTAGATTTAACGTTGCAGTGGTTTGTATTTTAGGTTCAGCTGGTTTAAGACTTTTGAAAGAATACCCATTCAGATGTTCCTATTTTTAAATTCCTCTCTGTCTAGAATGAGCTTTCTTTTGTCCCTTCTTTTGCCTCTGCTGTCTGCCTGCTTGGCTGCTTGAATAGGTTGCCTTTTTTGTTTTAAAGAAGCTCAGCTTGGCAGCTACCTCAGTAGCTTTGGCTTCAGAGAGCAAATCGGCGTTTTCACGAGTTAGCGACGGCTTCGGCGCCAACCTCGCCGGTGACCTCCCACCGCTCGGTGCTGCAATATGGTAAAACTATACAGTATGTACATCACGTAGCGTAATGCTGAAAAACAGGCAGGAGGTGAAGGTGAACAAGGAGGACATTTCACTGTAAACAAGCGCGGGTGTTTGTGCCGGGATGACAGGATCAGAGGGAGAAAAAAAAAAAGCCAACTTGTATCGGCAGACTTTCCTGACACTGCCCCAAAACATGGACTGCTGAGAACAGAAAACAGACTCAAGGGTGTTCGACATCAGTCATTAGGATACATTAAAACTCGCACATCCACTGAAGTGTAGTTAAGTATAGTCTAACATTTAAGACAAAATCAATTTCTATAGCTACACAAACCTGTAAAAAGTCAACCAAACAATTGCTGTGGGAATATGTTAGAGTAGATTATTCATGGTGCTTTGCAAAAGTATTCAACCCAACCAATTGAACGCTTTGAACTTAATACCACCTTACCTTCGAGCTTAAGTATGTGTTATTAGAATTTAATGTGATTGAAGAGCAACTGGCTTTAGTTCAAGACTTGGACTAGGTCATAGCATATGAATATGTTTTGACCTAAACCATTCCACCTCAGTTTTGGCTGTTTGCCTTGACAGCAGATTGACTTCCACCTTCATCTTCCCATCAACTCTGACTGACATCAGTGTCAATGCTGAAGAGAAGTATTTCCATGGCATGATGCTACCACCATTTATGTAGCAGGGATGGTGTGTTCATGTTCAGATTGCGTTTTTAGGATTTTTTTTTTTATATATAACCTTGCCCTGCTTTAAGGTTTTCCCAAACTTTATCCCTTCCCTGTCTTCTGTGTTCCTTGGTCTTCCTGCTGCCTGTTCATTAATCTTCTCCAACAAACCCCTGAGGCCTTCACGGAACAGAGTATTTATACTGAGATAAAAGTTCATATAGGTGGACTCCGGTAATTGTACTAGGTTTTATTTAAGGGCATCAGAACACAAGTGATTAAATGCCACACTTCAAAATTATTTTCATACTCATATTTCCCGTGCATCATTTTCCTCCCATTTCACAGCCATGCACCATTTTGTTCAGGGCTATCATGTGAAATGTAGAAAGATCTATGAAAAAGGAGGAGGAGTAAAAATACCTTTGCGAGGTACAGTAAAGATCACACACGATAGATTTTCCTCCTAACATTTAAACTTGCCTTTAGGGAATCATATGTTTGCATGACTTAAGGAATCTTACGGTTTTGTGTCCATTTGCAACACAATATTGGTAAAGGGCACAACGTGGAGATAACCAGCGGTCCCGTCAATCAAAGAAAACAGACTAAGGAAATGCAGACCATGCCATACATTACAAATGAATAATGCTCTACATAATCTTAGATTTTTTTAGAGGTTGTGCTTACAAGTACAAAAAAATGAAAAGGTATCAATATAGGCTGGCCCGCAAATATTCAGGGATTAGTTTGCATCTGAGGATGACTGACAGGTGCGAATGAAAGGATTAAACAATCATGATGTGATGCAAAGTGCTTTATGCACATTCATTTATGCCTCGCGTCCTCCTCGCCTGTCTGGGGATAGCCAAGGCTTTGTTAGATAGGCAGCTGGACGTGGCTTTAGAATGCCAGGATTCCTCTGTAAAGGTTTCAGCATCTTAGCATTTACTTCCACACCAACCAAACAGTTCTTTATCCGCCAGCTTACTGGCTAAAAACCAATCATATTGGAAGCTGGTCCCTGCAGTGGTTGTTGTTCAACGTGGATACAAACAAAGGAAGGATGTACCAAATTCAGCCCTCATCGTGCATTGCTTTGTTCTCCAAAGCGTTGTTCGAAGTTCTACCCTCAGTTCACACCTGGAAATTGCTTAGCAGATGTGATAAGTGGCTGGCAAGTGTAAAAACAGAGGATTATGGTTTTCATGAAATGCTTGGATTAATAGCTGTGAAGTAATTGTAAGGTGTGATGATCAATCGCCTTTTCAGCCGAATTGGACAGATCTTCACTCGCATCATCCAGTGATCAAAGTGGATGCTTGAAACTAATTTAAAACAAAAATAAATAAGTCATTTCTCGTTCCAATATATACATTTTCTTTTGGTTTAGTGAATCAAAACATTATTAGCAGATGTTTTCATTTTATCAGGTGTAATTATTTATGCAGCTTCCTACAAACAAGTGTGGTTTTAAGATCCTTGCTTTTCTCCATTTCCCAAAAATACATGCTTACGCGCACACGCCAAAACAACCCACCCTCCCGTTTTAGTTTTGCAACTGTGAACAAAACGTGGTAAAGGAGACGGAGATGAGATAATTCACTGTCTCTGTGCCTCCTTGTTTGATATTTCCCAGTAAGACCTGAACTGAAACACATAAACAAGGACACAGTTTTTGTTTTCTTTCTTTCTTTTCTTGTTTTTTTTTTTCAATTTTATTTTAAGAGGAATCAAAGACGGTTTCTGCCGACATCGCTTGAGATTTACCACTCAGCTGCCGGCGTCATTACCGCTGCCGCCGCCGCTGGTTTTGTTTCTCGCAGTGCAGTCACACACAAGCATAACATGTCCCAGCATGATTTTAATTGCCAGTGGGACTGTGGCCACTTCAGTGGGAGATGAGTTCTGATGGCTTGTTATGGAAATGAAAGGAGGGAGCAGCTTTGATTTACTGAGCACCGGGCGTAACCCTTTCGTTGCACCTTTCAAAGGGATTTTGCCGTGCAGGCCCAGTCGGCCGAGTCACCTCTGTGACCTGCTGAGCGGACTTTGGGATGCAGAAAGAAGGGTTTGTTGTTTCATGAATCGACGTGTGCTGCAGAAGAGCAGCTGGAGCAACAGTTGAAGGAAGATGCTTGTTTTGTTTTCATTGACAGTTCTTCCCTAAAATTCTCCTTTCAGCTCCAAGAAAGAAAAACTGAGTTAGCACAGTATTGGCAATGACGATTGGGGTTAAGGTGGATGACAAGACAGAAGTACCATTAAGGCACTCTCTAAATTTTACTTTTTATGTGCCTCAACTGTTTTGTCTTCTCCGTCTTCTTGTCTCACTCGTCTCTGGTTGTCATGTTCTGTTCATCCCTTTGCTTCCCTCCTCCCCCCTTTTTTTCTTCTGTCTACTCTTCTCTCAATGGCAAACTGACCAGTACCACCTCCTCCACCTGTTTGCATTCCACACATTTATGTCAGGAACTTTGTGTGCTTTATGTTCAA